ATCTATCTATCTATCTATCTATCTATCTATCTATATATATATATATCTCATTCTCTCTCTTTCTCTCTCTCTCTCTCTCTTTCTCTCTCTCTCTCCTCTCTCTCTCTCTCTCTCTCTCTCTCTCTCTCTCCACATAAGTTTACACGTTCCACTTTTCTTCCACGAAATCCTTCCAGCTCAGTTTCTATTCGAATCTTGTCTCTTGAATGGAGTTGTTGTTGTTCTTATTCAGCACTTTAACGAACTCTTTCTAATTGTTCAATTCTGTATTATGCGTTCAGATTTTGATATTTCAAACAAGCTGTTGTATTTTTGTTCTCGTTCTCGTTGAGACCTTTTTTTTAACCACGCAGAAGTGTTTGTTCATTTTGTTGGTGGTTGGTGGGTGCTCTGGTGTGATTTGCTCCTTCTTTCCTATCAAACATCTATCGTGCTTACCTCTCCTCCTTTTTTGTGTTTGCATACTCTCTCGTAAAACGTTTAATCTTTGGCACGTGTATGACCTTATTGTTTTGCAAGGGCTGTAAAACTCTACTAAAACTTAAATTTTGTTTGATAATTTCAGAGCGTGCAGCTAATGTTTTGTGTTTTGTTTCTGCAGGGGGAGTTCAAACGACACGGCCGTTAGCGAGGCAGTGGTGCTGTTGTGGGTGAGTACAGCTGAAACAAAACTCAGTTGTGAAGTTATGTTCTACTTTCAGTCTTGTCATCCCTCTGTTAGTCTGTCTGTCTGTTTGCCTGTCTGTGTCTCTTTCTCTCTAGATATCACTCTGTCTCTCTCTATTTTCTCTGCCTCCCTCCTGCCTGCCTGACTCACTCTCTTTCTCTCTCTCCAAGATAAAGCCACACCGCTGCAGCTTGTGTAACTGGCCAGTGCTCTGGCTGGTGTTGGTTTTCTCCTTCTCCCCTGTTGAAGAAGTAGCCGTGATTGTGCATAATGTGTACGTGTTTGTTCCGACTATCATAGGAAAACACCGTTTATTATGATGCATGACGCTGTCTTTTCTCTGGGTTCCCTTTCATCTTGCTAGCCTCATGAACTCTGTATTTAGTTGTAGGCCTTCATCAGAGATCAGGAAGTCGATATTGTATCTGGATGTGATCTGCTGCTGCCAGATAGCGGGTGGTCGGAGGTAGGCGGACAAAAACAAGGGTAAAAAGTCGCTTGGTCTTCACACGAGGTCAGACTAGACTATGGCGATTATGATGCTTAACTCATTCCGGACGAGCATTCTGTTTATTCGACAAGGTTTGAAGGTGTGCTGTTTTGGGGGGCATATCTTCGTTATTCAAACAGATTTTTCGATTGCGTTTTCTTTTTCTGTAACTTTGCATGGCACGCAACAACATGCCGTATACCGTTGAAATATGCAAACTCGTGTTTCTTTTTTGTGTGTGTTGGTTTGAAATGTGTGAAAGTACTGCTTTTGCTCTTCTGCTGATCAAACATTGGTGTGAGTTCATATTGTTGGCGAGTGCTGTTTTGTGTGATTTGCCCCTTATTTCCTATCAAACATCTAGCGTCCTGATCTTCCCCTTTTCTTTTTTGTGTCTGTTGCTCTCTCGTAACACCCCCAATCTTCAGCACTTATATTATGACCTTATTGTCTTCCAAGTGCCGTAAATCTCGAGATCTTATCAAAAGTAAGAGAACCTATTTGTGTCCGCTACGTCATTAAAGGGTCAATGTACCAGACTGAAATGTGAGATCCGGGATTTGATATGCGAGTTGATTGGTCTTTATGGAAGGGCGGAAAGTGGGAGGGGAAGGGGGGGTGAGTGGTCAGCGTGATATTGTTCGTGACGTATCTGCATGGCAGATGGCCAGAGATGGGCGCACACCGGACACCGAGACGGTTATCTCGATGTGTGACGATGCCTGTGTTTACCTGTCAACTGTGACCACAGGTTTGCTGGCCGGAGAGTTAGTGGGAGAAAACAACCCCGGACTCAGAGCCAAAGGGGTTTATCTGAATACATGATTGCTTGCATGCTATGAAGGCAGGTGTCGAGAGGTGGTTGTTCATGGCGCTCAAAGTTAAGCCTAAGCCTATTATTAGTCAGTTTGAATCCTCGGAGCAGAGACCGTATTTATTATCATTGCCTCGGAGTACCCTGTCTTGGACTAAAGCCAAAAGGTGTCTTCTGAATCATCGAGTTCCAGCTTTGCGACAGAAATTGGTGATCATGGTTCGTCGTTCATTTTTTTGCTCGAAGCTCTCAAAAACAAAATAATACGTATTATTATTATTATTATTATTATTATTATTATTATTATTATCCTCATCATCATCGGTATTATTATCACTATTTTTTATTATTATCATTATTATCCTGGTGTTTCCCCATCACCCATCTGTTAAAGCTTTCCTAGTAAGTTGCTCTGCGTAGTCAACCTTCGATTCTTCTGAATACATGTACTTCATTGCTGTTAAAGAAAATGTCGGGAGTGGGAGGGTTAGGGTACTGGATAATAGTGATAGCCGGTTCAAAACTAGTCTGTGCCGTATGACAAAAACAAATTCCCAAAAATTGTACCTTGTCCAACTTTAGTCTGAACTGGGTTCTTATATATATATTCGAAGTGTGTATGGCTCTATGTATATTAAATATTATACTATATACGCAACACACGTGTGTTTGTTTATAGTGTATGCTTGTGTGTAAGGGGGGGGTGGAAGGGAGGGGGGGATAGGAGTTGGTGTGCGTGCGTGTATGTTTGTAAGCCTGTGTCAACGTACAGGGAACGAAACCAAAGTTCTGACAGACTGTAATTTTATTGTCAAATCATTACCTGTTTGACCGAAGAAAGAGAGAAGGGACGAGAAAAGGAGTTTGGGGAAAAAGGGGCGTGGTTCGTTCCACAGATTCCCGTTAGGCTTCACTTCGTCATTGTCGTTGTTGCTGTGGTAGAGATAGAATCTTTCGGACTCTACACCTGAGGAGTGGGTGGACATTTTGATACGACACAAACAGAGCTCTTTGTTACTGGTGTAATGGTCGATTGCAGGAAGGAGCAGATAAGATAGGGCGAGGTGCCCGCTCGACAAGCAAGGTGGCGACGTGACTCAACGACCAGTTATGTGGACCTGGGGCCAGAAGTCGTTTAATTTGTGTACACACGGGAGAGTGGAGATTGTCCAACGCAGGCAATTATCATGATATCAGCTTAGGTGGATAATGGCTGCCGTCTAGTTTTTCTCCTTTAAGTTTAAGGCCTGTTCTCTCTGTTTCTGCCTTTCTCTGTGACTTTCCCTATTTCTCTCTCTCTCTCTCTCTCTCTCTCTCTC